ATGCAAATGGTGTCTTAAAAATGTCAGCAAGATGCTTCTGCTTTTAAAGGACAGGCTGCTTTTTCAGCTTCAGATAATCCCTGGTAAAGAAACAGGGCAAGAAAGGCTTTGTGACAGCAGCAAGAGCACTCCAGTGTTTCTAGCCCGATCCATAGGTAAGCAAAGCGCGTTTCAAAGCAGCACAGAGCAGCAGAGCCATTGCTTTGCAAGATATTGTAGTATTACCATTATTGGTCATGAACATTTTTTTCAGAATCAGACTCTAAGAAGCAGGGGGAGAGCTGGGAAAGCAGGAGGATTTTAGGTGCTTGTGGCTGAAGTACACAGGCAAACATTGACCAACCTCAGGTTGTCACAGATCAACACACACTGAGCCCAGCAGCAGCAGGTAAATCCCAGCAAAACTTGGGATCTCCAGACTGATCATACGATCTCTGGCAAGATAGGTTACACATATATATGTATTTGTAGATATACCTGGGATAAAATGTCATGGGAGAATTCCCAAGGAATTTCCCAGAGCAGCACTGCACACTCAGAAAACACACACTGACAGCAGGTTGTGTCCATGGCGGCAGTGAGTTGTGTCCTGCAGAGAGGGACATCAGAGCAGCAGCACCAAACAGCTCGCCACAGATTTTGGGGGGTTTTCTGGCAAAGTCTCAGAGCTTCTCACATCAAAAACTCAATCCAGAATGCATTCAAGCCAGCTCAGCACCAGCTTTGCATTGCCAATGGGATTGATAGGAAGCAGCCTTGCTGCAAAATGAAAACACATGGAAATGCAAAGCCAGACCCTGCATCTGCACAAGCGTGGCCAGGGGCCCATCCACCTGATCTGTGTCCCTGCATGGCTCACGTCAACCTTGGCTGCCCTGGTGCTGCCAGCGCCACAAAGGCCTGGAGCGCTCTGAGCTCCAATCTCCCTGTACCAGGAGACCCAGACCCGAACCCTGCATCTGATAAGGGTCGGGATAGGGCTCTCCAAAACACGCGCTGCCATTGCATTCACCTTCCCATTTCTTCCACAGCGACCGCCCAACCTCCACGGCAAAGGCAGGGAGAACAAAACGACCTCTGTAAAGCAAAGGCTCTGCACACCGAGGTTGGCAAGGCCAGGATGGCTATGGGCTTTGGGGAAACAGCAGATTTTAGAGGGTTTGCTGAGTGTCAGTTGTCTCAGAGAAAATGGGTCCAAGGCTGTGCACTCTGCTCTGTCCCTGAGCACACTCTCAAAGATTTTAAACACTGAAAGTACTTCTCCATGAAGACAATTATCTTGGCAAGACACTGCTTCGTTCATTAGGCTGCTAAGCACCTATTGTGGGCCAATCTAATTGTTTAAGGCACATGTTAAAGCACATTTCTCGCCTTCTTTTTCTTATTTTTTGACAATAGCCTGACAATAGTCACCAAGAACAAGTAGGAAAACAGCTCAGATGGTGTGGGCAAGAGGCAGTGGGGATCACAAAGCCCCTGGATCCCCACAAACACTTTGTCTATACCAAAATGTCCCCAAAACGCCCAGTGCCGTGAGCCCAAGCCCTGCTGGGTCCTGCCTCGCTGCCTGCCCCAGCCAAGGACACAGCACCCCTGTCCCCACCTGGGGTTGGCAGTGCCACCTCCGGGCAGACACAGGGACAGCGCAAGGTGAACACTTCACCACTGGGTGATCGCCTGTGTTGACAGGGAAAAATGTCACTGTAAATACATTTTGAAGAATAACAGCCATCTAATCTTGATTTTCCATTATTTTGCAGCACCACGACACGGCACAGCCTGATAACAGCGGTGTCTCCAGCTGGAGTGTTAAGGCCCATTGTCCTGGCGTTGGTTTTTTGTGATACCAACTTTCGTCATGTTTGTCCCTTGCTGTTGATACAAGACTGGCGTGAAATTAGGGAAGCGTATATAAGCAATAAGTGGGCTGCTTGCAATTCCTCCAAGGCAAAGATGGCCAAGCTCCTTTTGCTTACCGGTAAGTCCTGCTTTGTAACTTCATCCTCTGCCTTTATGATGAGTGTTTGAGGATGTTTCGCTGTATTGGGTGGTTACACAAGAGGGCCTTTGGAGTTAAGATGTTTCACTCCCTTGTCAAAAGAAAAGATAGAGCAATTACTTTCAGGAGGTATGGTTGTATTTTCCAGTACTACCTGTGTGGATATTTTATGCTTTAAAAATGAATGGAATTTGTTGCTAATTGAAATGAAAAGTGCTTTTTCATCACAAAATCCATCAAAAATCTCAATGTCAAGCAAATTCAGATGAGGCTTTTTCTCAGCCTGCACTTCCATATGAATGAGCAGTGACCTGGGGTACAGGTTATGTTGGGTTCAGTCCAGTCCTGCATGAGAGCTTTGCATTGCTCAGCTCCAACACTAACCCCATCCTTTTTTCTTACAGGTCTGGCCCTCCTGCTG